ATATATATAATTTTGACTTTCAAGGAGCTCACTGTCCAGGAGGCAGACAGACTTGCACATAAGAAAAGTACAAGTAGGGACCAGCATGTGGCATAGTCATTAAGGCACCAGACTCTCACATGGTTGACTGCGGTTCGAGTCCTGGCACATTTGTGTGCATACTCAGAATCCTGAGGGGAGAATGGGGGGTGGGGGTAGGAGATTGTGGCATGGCCAACCAGGGGGTGGTTTTTCACTTTCTGTCTCTCTCTGTCTCTCTGGTGAGCACATGAACTCTAGAGCAAAAAAATCTCGGGAAAAAAAAAGTACAAGTAGATGCGAGCTAGATAGTGATACAACATTATACTTTGTGACACTGACCCACTTGGAAAGGTTCCAGGTTCACATCTGGAAACCTCCCTGAGTACACATGTATATACCCATGATCCATCTGGGCCTAGAAGCTAGTGGAGGGTTGTGGTGTCAGAACCCTACAGGTGGTACTGTCTCTCTGTCTCTCTTTTCTCTCTCTCTCCCTCTCTCTCTCATGGAAGAAAGAAAGAAACTGTAAAAAAAGAAAAAAGTTCAAGTAGAGGGGCCAGCAGGTGGCATGGTAGTTAAGGTGCTGGACTCCCTCATGGCCAACCACAGTTCGAGTCCCAGACATGGAGGCGTGAAAATCACAAAGTATTTTGAAAAGCTGGGAGTATGTGTGTTTGTGTGTGTGTGTGCACCCAAAATCCTGAGAGGAGAATTGAGGAGAAGGGATTGAGGTGTGGCCCTCTCTCCTGGAGGGTGATTTCTCATTTTCTCACTCTGCCTCTCTCTGGAGAGTATATGCACCCTACGGCAAAAATCTAAAAAAAGAATAGTGCAAGTCGAACTACAAGATAAATATATAATAACTACATGCATAAAAAGCAATGTCTGAAGGATAAAGTTTGGTGTTGATTTGACCTGGAATGCCTTCTCTTTTGAGGAAAGATTGAGTAATAACATAAAGAAAGGGTTACAGAGGTTAGAGAGAATGTTTTCAACTTGGGAATAAGAAAGAAATGCTCCATATGTTTGAGACATGCTCACTGTGTGTTCATGTGATCTGTTATGGAATTGGGGTGAAAGCATTGGCTAAGCCAGAGGCTGGTTAACGGCTGGTCAGAGCTGGCCCCCACAGCTCAATATAAGTTTAAGCACTACGCATTAGGGAATGACTATGATTTGAATCCCAGAGCCAGCAGCCTGAAAAACACAGAGGCCTGTGTGTAAATGCAAACCTACAATAGTAAAGGAAAGGAGAAATGGAGGAAAAAGGATTGTAGCATGACCATGTCCTATCGGGTGGTGCTTCCTCTCTTCCCCCATCACCCTATGCCAGTGTAGATGCCCTCTGACAATTAAAAAAAGGAAGTTGGTAAAAAGATCAGTGTATATGGATAAAGAAATCATGGGTTAGAAAAATAACTTGAAGTAGATTCTGGCAGATTTTGTTAAAATGCATCTTTGTCTTTTTCGTCCAACATATCAACAGAACACTTTAGTATTCTAGATTGCCTGTTCATCACAAATTCTCTTTCTCCTTTAGAATCTAGAAAGAAATCATTAAAATATTTTCAGATGGAAAGTTTCCATGCCAAGGATTTTCATCTTCCCTCTTGAACTGTGATTTCCTGATGTCCTTAAAGGTATGGTACATTAGATCTTTCCATTCTTATTTTGAGTATAGTTTTTGTGTTTGTGTGTGTATGTTTTTCCCAGCCTGGGCTACAATCAACACAAGACTTATACTTTCCAATTTGGTGCTCCTTTTTAATTTAGTAGGGTTTTTGCTTTTTTTGGTTTGTTTTTAGAGGTTTTTGCCTTGGGGTGTGTGTGCTCACTGGACAGAGAAAGACAGAGACAGTGAAAGGTAAAGTAAGAAATCACAGCCCAGGGGGGTATGGCCATGCCACAATCCCTTCTCCTCCATTCTTCTCTCAGTATCTTGGGTGTGCACACACATGCGCCCAGAGTGATTTTCAAGCACTAGTTCCTGGACTTGAACTGTGGTCGACCATGAGGGACTCCAGCTACATAACCACTATGCCGTCTGCTGGCCCCATGCTTTAGTTTTAATATATACATGAACTGGACTTATAATTCCAGAAAAACTAAGATGAGAAAAGTCTATTTCCCTGAATGCTAACTTTCACAGTTTAGCTCATTCTAGTCATAAACTCTAGATAACCATCTTTAGGGTTTATGGCTAGATAAACTATCGGGAATATCAACATTATACCCATGGGATTACAGGAACTTGGGCTGATGGGTGTTATCCAAGTTCTACTTAATTTTCAAAGCCCCCCCATAATATGATCCCATCCTACCTACCTGCTTTTACTCCTTGCTACTTAAAATAACAACAAAAGGAATCATAGATGGCATAATGGTTACATCATCGGTCCCACATCATTGACTGTGGTTCAAGTCCTGGACCCCGTGGTGTGAAACTCATGCCGGATGCATGTGTATGAGTGCCCAAAATCCCAAGAGGAGAATGGAGGAGAAGGGATTGTGGCATGGCCATCCCCCCTGGGGGGTGACTTCTCGCTTTCTGGCTCTTTGTCTCTCTGGTGAGCACACACACCCTATAGCTAAAATTTCTCTCTCTAATAATAATAATAGTAGTAGTAATAATAATTCTGAAAAAAATAATAAAACAATGACAACAAGTAACCTTCTAGTTAGGTTACCTTACACATTATCTTTCAAGGCCTGCTTGAAAGCTATTATCCTTTAGGAAATATCTTAGCAAGGTTTTATTGACTTTTTTTCTCCAAATACTGGGCTCTACATCATGAGCTTTTACCCCCCCTCCCCCTTTTAATGCCCTAGGATATATGCATGTAAGTGCACATTAGAGAGAAAGCAAGAGAGAGAGAGAAAGCACCTACCAACCCAACTGGACCTAATGATGCTGCAATCCCCCCTTCCTCCAATTCTCCCATTCTTCAAGGACCCTGGCATGCACATGAGTATGCCTAGCATATTGCCATTGGGGCCAAGATTCATACCATAATTAGCTATGTAGAATCTGGCTACTTCTGCATAGTTCTTTACTGCTGTGCTATAGGTCTGGCCCTATAGCCTCCATTTTTAATTATCCATATCATAAAAGCAACATACACACTCAATATATACACATAATTTTCCTAGCTTCTTAGGCCTACTCTGTGGACGAGCAGGGTTGTACTGAAAGAAGAGGTAAATAGAAAAACGAATGTTCATGTGACCAGCAGTTGGTATAATGGCTATGTCACTGGACTCTCATGCAGTCGACCACAGTTCAAGTCCCAGGCCCAGTGGCTTAAACTCATGCCAGGCACATGTGCATGCGTGTCCAAGATCCCATGAAGAGAATAGAGGAGAAGGGATTGCAGCATGGCCATCACCCCTGGGGGGTGATTTCTCGCTTTTCATCTCTCTGTCTCTCTCTGTCCTTCTGGAGAGCACACATGCCCTATAGCAAAAACTTCTCCAAAAACAAAGAAAGAAAAAAAATGAATGTTCCTCCAACTTTCTCTCATTACTAACACATGTGAATTAATTTTATTTTAGGTCTTCAGGTAGATAAATTCCACTACCATGGAATTAGAATGTCAGCTTTAAGTCATTTGGTTAACACTCTCCATTTTATACATGAGAAAAGAGACCCCCCCCCCCCCCAAGAAGTGAAGTAATTTATCTAATGTATTAGCATGTATTTATCATTATTTTCTCATTTCATAATCATTCATTTCCTTGCCCCATCCCCAAATAAACTTAATTTATTGAGGGTGAGGACTATCAAAGCTTGTACATTTTTAACATTAACAATAGCATCTATTCATCTTCTTTTATTTTCCATACAGGATCAAGAATGAGCCCATGCACACAGTGTGTGCTAAAGAAAGATTTGCACTGAATTGAACCCTTGCAGAACGTGGACTATTTGGAGACACTGAATTTGTCTTGGGTGATTCTTTGCCTCAAGTTGACCCATTCAGCACTGCATAGCAATGGGCCAAAGGAAAAATACCAGGTGTCTAGTCTTGTTCGCCTAACTAACCTACAAATACCACTTTATACCAACTTATTTAGCAACCTAAGGCACTTTGAGTAATACTAGTCACAGAGAAGACTCTTATTAAATATTATTTAATTGACTGACTGTCACCAGATCAAAAGTCAGATCTTAGTCTATGTTTCACACAACAAATAGAGTAGCTTTGTCAAAAAGAAAGCACAAGAGGGACCAGCAGTTGGTGTAATGGCTATGTCGCTGGACTCCCATGTAGTCAACCGCGGTTTGAGTCCCAGACCCGGCAGCTTAAATTCACGCCAGGTGCATGTGCGTGCGTGCCCAAGATCCTGAGAGGAGAATGGAGGAGAAGGGATTGCGGCGTGGCCATCCCCCCTGGGGGGTGATTTCTCACTTTCTATCTCTCTGTCTCTCTCTGTCTGTCTGTCTGTCTGGCGAGCGCACGCACCCTATAGCAAAAACCTCTTCAAAAAAAAAAAAAAAAGAAAAAGAAAAGAAAGCACAAGACTATTCAAGTGGACACTGTTGAACGGATGAAGCACTTTTCATATAGTTCTATGCCTTATATTAGTCTTTATGAAAGGTCTCTGAGATCCTATGCTGCCTATTAGATACCGAAGAATCATTTTGAAAGTGCTATAATGAATATTATATTATTATTTGGTAATAAGGCAATTGAAGACATCAAAAAATATAGAGTCTAAGATGCTAAGTCAGAATGAATCTATGTTGGTCTATCCACAGTGGGTCTCCTGTACCCTGTGGGACCATTTTTAAGCCCTCTGATTTGAGTTAATGATGTAGCTCATAGCCACCTAAAGGTCAAAGTTGCCATCCTTGGGTGGGATTTGATACTGGATTTGGGATCATTTGTACTATGCTGTATCCAATTCACCTACCCACTATGTATCTTGACTTTTTCTACTTTTCTTATTTTTGTCCTTATTCTGCTATTCTCATCTTTAAAGGAGTGAGGTCTAGTTGAGGTAGTTACATAATTCTTCTTAACTTGAACTATTTTAACCCCAAAATGAAACTATCTCCAAGGAAGAAGCAGAGCATTTATCATAATCATTAACCTTGTCTTCCTGATGAGTATCTTTCATTATGTTCAGGAAATAAATGAGTTTAAAAACATCAACCAGGGGAACCAGCAGTTAGCGTAATGGCTATGTCGCTGGACTCCCACGTAGTCGACCGCGGTTCACATCCCGGACCCAGTGGCTTAAACTCACGCCAGGCGCGTGTTCGTGCGTGCCCAAGATCCCAAGATGAGAATGGAGGAGAAGGGATTGGGGCATGACCATCCCCCCTGGGGGGTGATTTCTCGCTTTCTGTCTCTCTGTCTCTCTCTGTCTGTCTGGCGAGCGCTTGCGCCCTATAGCAAA